AGTGCAGGCTGCTTTCCCCTGGGCTGTGGGAGTGCCATGAAACCGAAAGTGCCACGATGGGCACTTCTGGTTTCACTTTTCCCTTACAAGTCCTGACAAGCCAGCATGCTGGTTAACAGAGCATGTCAGCTTGTAAGGTGCTGGATAACTCAGCTTTTACTGTACTTACAAGTTTTTGGAAAGTCATGGTTTACATATGCTCACTATAGACTTATTAGAATTTAACTGCTCAAATCATTGCAAACTTTGTATGTATTAGATTTACTTGAGCCTATCATAGCTCCTTCTATGACCAGGTCACAAAATCCTTAGACACAGGGATAGCAGTGGACATAGTCTTTCTGGACTTTAGGAAGGCCTTCAACATTGTCTCTCACTCCATTCTCATTAAAAAACTAGGGGACTGTGGCGTTGACACCTACACAGTCAAATGGGTCACTAACTGGCTGGAGGGCTGCACCCAGAGAGTGGTGGTAGATGGGTCATTTTTGACCTGGAGGGATGTGGGCAGTGGGGTTCCGCGGGGCTTGGTCCTCGGGCCAGCATTGTTCAACATCTTCATCAGTGACTTGGACGAGGGGGTAAAAAGCACCCTGTTCAAATTTGCAGATGACACTAAGATGTGGGGGGAAGTGGGCTCACTAGAAAGGAGGAATAGGCTGCAATCAGACCTAGAGAGGCTACAGGGGTGGGAGGATGAGAATAGGATGGGCTTCAACACCTGGTGCTGCAAGGTGCTCTACCTGGGGAGGAAGAGCCAGCATCATACCTACTGGCTGGGGGATTCCCTTCTTGTCAGTGCAGAGGCAGGAAAGGATCTTGGAGTCATTATTGATGCCAAAATAAACATGGGCTGACAGTGTGGGGACGTGGTCAGAAAGGCCAACCACACCTTGTCATGCATCCACAGATGCATCTCAAGCGGGTCCAAGGAGGTGATCCTCCCCCTCTATGCGACACTGGTCAGGCCGCAGTTGGAGTACTGCATCCAGTTCTGGGCACCACACTTCAGAAGGGATGTGGACAACATGCAAAGGGTCCAGAGGAGGGCCACTCGCATGATCAGGGGGCAGCAGGACAGGCCCTATGAGGAGAGGCTAAGGGACCTGAACCTGTTCAGCCTCCACAAGAGAAGGCTGAGGGATCTAGTGGCCATTTACAAACCAGTCAGAGGGGACCAGCAGGCACTGGGGGAGTCCCTGTTGCCCCGAGCACTCCCAGGATGACAAGAAATAACAGTCACAAGCTGGCAGAGAGTAAATTTAGACTAGATATCAGGAGGCACTACTTCACTGTCAGGGAGGCTAGGATCTGGAACCAACTTCAAAGAGAAGTGGTGCTGGCTCCTACCCTAGAGGTCTTTAAGAGGAGGCTAGATGAACACCTTGCTGGGGTCGTTTGACCCCAGTATTCTTTCCTGCCATGGTAGGGTGTCGGACTTGATGATCTGCTCAGGTCCCTCCCAACCCTACCAACTATGAAACTATGAAACTATAGCTCCTGTATGTGCATAATTGCATGCACAACCTGACCAAGTGATTATCTAATATTTTTGCAACATAATGCTACAGAAAAGAACCTGGATATTACTTGAAATGATTTTTCCCAATGTGGGGTGGGGACTCCCATTGCAATGAGTGCAAAGGGGCCATCTGACTTTTTCCTCTCAGTTACTTGCCTATTCACTAAAACACTGAGCAGCATGGAGGACAAAATCATATCATACGAAATAAGAATGGGCAAATAGGTAGACTGAAGAATAGGGAGGGAAAGAAAAGGAAGACAAGGAATGTGGTGAGATTGCGACTGGAGACTAAAAGAAAACTACTGGTATTGGGACTTGCTGGTCAAGAAGTTTGCAACTATCTAGACAAGGAGACTGGGACAAAACCTGTGAGTGAAATAGTTGTAAAAGTGAAAATCAGTTAGGTGAAAAGGAACTGAGAACAGTTGAGAGGGAAGAGAAATCTGGAACTTACTAGGTAGAGAAATCAGCATACGAGGTATGGGGAGAGAGGAGATATAGGAGGTGCAATCAATTTGAAGAGCACTATTAATTTGACGTGCTCCTGGGTGCACCATTTAAATGTGCCCATGGGACAGCAAATATAAGCTAAGTGGGAGCAGCCCCACCTGGCAGGGGCCTTGGGGAGTCAGCCTGACAGCCCAACACTGCTCCAACTCATATCAACATCCTGTGGATGGATTGGTTGAGGCACAAGTGTGCTCTAGTGTGGAGCTAGCCATCAGGCAGCTGAAGCCCCCCACACTGAAGCACCCTCATGCCCTAGCCAGCTGGGTCAGGGTCTAAATGTGCATTGTTGCAGAGTAAAAATCTCCACAACAGGATAGTATTTGTATTTACAAGTACTACCCTTCTGCAGAGCTTATTAGTTTATTAGCTGCTAATTAGTCTCCCCACAAGGGAGCCAGGTTTTCTGAGTAGTGTGGAAAACTGTGGATTTTCCCCATTAAAGGAGAAAAACACAGGAAATGGTGAGTTTTCTCTTGCACGCTGGCAGAGTTCCAGCCTACAAGGCACTGCTTGGGGCTGTGGGGAGTGGGAGGATAGCGATCACAGATGCACATGGCAGCCAGGCAGCAGTGGAAAGCAGCTCCTGCAGCTCCCTGCAGGTAAGTCTATGGGGATGGGGTGGACACTGGCTACATATTAGGTGGGGGGCAGGGGGCACAGGCCATGCAATGGGAGGGAGGGGGAACAGGCCATGTATTGTGAGGGTAGGAGGAGGCAGAGGTGATGGGACAGTGGGGCACATGCACCCCAATATTTCTGTGCTCACTGCAAGGTTTGGGGCTGCAGCATGGCTGGACCAGCTCCAAGGAAGCCATCTCCAAGGTCCAGGATGTGGGACCTGGTGTGGGAGGAATCACTGTGCCACCATGGACATCAAGATGAGGCACTGTGGTTTGGAGTTGTGCCCTCATGGTTGCCAGGTGCATAGAGGGTGCCTCATCTTGGCAGCCATGGTGGTGCAGCACTCCATCCCAACCAGTTCCACGTTCTGAGCTGTGGAGGTGGCTCCTGCCTGGAGCTGGTCCAGCGCTGCTGCAGTCTCATGCCACATGCTCCACTGTGGGCACAGAAATATCAGGGGGAATGTGTCCACACCCCTCTTTTCCACAGGCCTACCCCATTCTCCCCACACCCACTCCCTTGCTCATATGCTGGAGGCATGGGGCAGTGGATCAGGAGTGAGGGGTAGCAGCAGGACTGAGGGGCTGTAGGTCAGTGGGCCAGGGGCCTGTGGGTTGGGAGTAAGGTGCATTGGCAAGGCTTGGAGGGCTGTGGAACAGGAGTGAGGGTCAAAAATGTATAGGTATTTAGAATTTATTTTATTATAATCATTGAGACACTGGTAGGTTTCCAAATTGCTTTAAAACTGTACATATATCAATAACACATTTTATTCAACAGATATACATGTATAGAGAGACATTTATTGTAATCATGGGAAAAATGGATTTGGGGGGTTTAAATCAGAGAATTTGGGATTTTTAATCAGATAATTTGCTACTTTTAAACAGGAAAAACCAGGATCCCTGCTCATGATTAGAACTGGGTGTTGTCACAAGTTGTGGGAACCTCCAAAAATGTATACACAGATGAGGCACAGGTCAACCTTGTCCAGCTCCACCTCATGAAGTGTGGGGATACACTAATCATATGTACCAGGCTGAGAGAGGAGGCAATAGAGGGATGGTGGAGAAGTCCTATTTGGTTATGTTTGCCACACATTTCAGGCTGGTGAAGAAATGGGAATCACTGGAAATGGGAAAGAAAGGCAAAGCTCAGCTGTGGGATTGAAGAGGAAGCCAAAATGTAGTCAATGTAGTGGCTCACCATGACTTTAAAAAGAGTTAGTGCAGAGGGATACTGAGCATAATGGGCACTACACTGTATCTTATTCAGATGGGCTAGTAATGTTTCCTTGTGGTAGGTTTTCATCAGTATGTTTACTTAGTATGGGCCATGGGTTTCATAGTTATGTTCAGTCTTGGCTGTGTTTAATCAACTTCATAGTTTGTTTCCATTGCTGAGTACATGCTTTTGGCATCAGTTTAATTATAGGCATTGTATTTAATGAAGTTTCTTTGTATGCAAATGTAAGACAAGTAGGTTTTGTCCCCATTCTGGCTGGGGAAAATACCTAACCTTATGCTTGTATGATGTACACACAGATGCACAGACTTTGGTTAGTTTATAAGATACAAATCTACCCTGCCTTCTACTTTACTTTAGACTAACTTGACTAACTTTGACTTTCTGCTGCCATTGATACTGCTCCAGCCACTGCTAATGCCCATTGGCACAAAAGCAGCATGTAATACCTATGAATGAACTTATTTACATATCTACAGTTTAATTAAGAACTCTTTAAAGCCTACAGAAATGGGTGTCCTCACTTTTTTATCCTATTTTTATGCACAGGACTTTATTTGTAGAACTGTAAGGCTATTATAGAACAAACCTGCAACTAAATTTACTGGATTCATAAAGTACAAGTTCTAACATGGTGTTTCTTTATATAATTAAAAAAAAAGAAAGGAAAAAAAAAGAATCATTGCTGTGACCAAAACGAGAAAGCATTCACAAGTGAGCTGAGTCATCTCAAAGCAGCATATAAAATGTAATAAATTAATGTGATTACAGAATAACAAAAGGAGATATAATAGAGTAGTATGTTGACTCTTAATAAGATCCTCTGTCTGTAACATTTGTTTTTTTATATTTATTCTATTTTTGTCAGTGTTTTAAAAATATCTTTTAAAGCTTTAATCTATGTATTAAAATTCAGAATTAACATACTGTGTCTGTGTCAATGACAGCACCCAGAAGATGGTATTGAGTTGTACTATTGGCTTAGCACAAAGTATTTTAATTGGGATCTTTTTTCATCCTTTTCTCTCTCTCTCTTTTTCTGTTTGTGCTTGTGTTGCTCTTGTTCTCCTTTAAGCAGTAACTTTACTTTGCATTTCAGGTGTTACACTAGAATCAGATTCCTGCCTTGACCCAGGGATTCCTGTGAATGGCCATCGCCATGGTAACAGCTTTAGCATCCGATCTACAGTAACTTTTAGCTGTGATCCAGGATATACATTGAGTGATGAGGAGCCACTCATATGTGAAAAAAACCATCAGTGGAATCATGCATTACCTAGCTGTGATGGTAGGTGCCAATTATAATAACCAGCTTAACAAAAAAGTAAGCTGGGATGAAATTACACCTTAGACCATAACCTGTAAAATGTTAGGCAGTGTTAAGTTAGAAAGTTCTGCGAGCAGTCATATGTTAAAGATTAATACTGCTTCTTGTCTACACAGCCCTGACTTGCTGCTAAAGAGCTGGTGAGCAGGCATGTGGCTAGGAACCAGGGTGCCTGAGCAATATCCCTGCTCTGAGGTTGGAGTTGGGCCTGGGAGTGGTCAATTGTGGGACACTTGAGTTCACTCCCTGCTTGGGATGGGGAGTCTGGGAGTGATGCATGCTGGGATACTGGAGGACTGCAAATTATTCATTTTATCTCTGTGAAGCAGACTGAAAATACCTTAATGTGAGCTATGTATCACAGCCCACTGTTAACCCTTACCTGTATTGGCATAACCCTGAGATGCTCAGAGGGCACTTCACTTGAGTTAACCTTTAATATGTGGATGCTCACATTATAAATGTCCTTAGTGTAACACATAACTTCAACCCTGCTCTTTTCTGTTTTAGTGCATTAATTAGTCATGTCTTTAGTTATGTTCTCTTCCTTTCCCTCATACCAGAGTTCAAAGCTTTTAAATACTGTTACCAGATTTGCCCATTACTTTGGGGTGTGCTCATTTAAGGGATATGTTTCTAGGGTCTTGGTAATTCTGTCAACGTGCTGCTTGTGTTACTTGCATTTCTATACGGAGCTGTATATCTCCCTTCTGCAAGTCCTCACCCCCCCCGCCCCAATGGAGCTATCTTGCAGGACTCAGTCTCAATGCGGCTGGGTCCTCCAGTCACCAAATCAGTCATACACAAAAACACACACAGATTAACATGACACGCCTGACCCGGCCGGGTTGATCAGCATGAACAGGCTGACACCCTCATATGCCAAGAATCAGTTCATCAGAGCAACAATAAACTGCAGTCAGACACAAGCACACAGGTGAACAGAATCCCTCTGAATCCTGCTGGGTGTCCAGCTGACACCCTCATGGGCCAGCATTCAGTTCATAAGGGCACGTCTGAGTCAAACTGGGTCAATCAGTCTGTACAAGCTGATTCCCTTATGTGTTTCAAACTCAGCACGTCCCAATCTTTGGCCTCTTGATGAGCAGATCCCACAGCATTTTGGGGCTCTACAGGGATCTTTAGTTTAGGTAAAAGAAGTGCTGCTGCAGAGCACAGGAGGAAAGAGAAGCAGAGAAGGAAAAATATACCCAGTTACTACCAGTTTGACTATAAAAGTTATTTATTGCTAAGCATATGAAATATATAATGGTGCTAATAGTAATAGACATGCAAAGGAAAAACAAACACAAGCAATTACAGTACTACCCTGGTTTCACTAAGTATTTGGGGAAACTTAGCTCAAGCTTAACTAGTACAGTTCAGGTTCAGAAATTTATGCCTAGAGAGAAAAGAGAGAAAGAGAGAGAGCACTGAGATCTCACCAGTCCAAGGCACTTGGGTCTCAAAGCTGACAGGTAAAGTTTGTAGCACAATCCTCGAAGGGAGACGATCTGTTCTTCCAGCAACCCAAGAACAACAGCGGGTGGTGTCAGCACATGATTTTTCTTCCTGAAGCACACACACTGCTGCTTTTTTACAGATTTTTATACCCTCAGTTCATCTGCTTCGAAGCATTCTCAATAGTTGAAATCATTGTCTTTTCTATTGACAAGGGGTTATCTGGTTTGGAACATCTCAAGAAACTGACTGATAATCAGGAAGCACAAAAGGTTAGGGAGTAACCAGATACTTGGGAGCCATCTTGAAATTCCTGTGGATAGCAGATATACTGATGGGATATCTCATGGTTTCTTCAGGAACAATAGATAGCTTGCAGCATCAGGATTTTGGATTTTTACTGGTTGTGCACAAGCCTCAGCTTAGCATGACTACTATAGTCTTTTAACAAACTTAAGGCAAATATTGGGGCATTTATAACCTTTGGGCAGGAGGCCTTCCACCAGCCGTCCTGGGAAAAGTATGACAACACCTGTGGTTAGGGCTCCAATGGGTTGGATGCTGTGATGAACCCTTAACCATTGTTCAAGTGTTGCCCATACCCCCTCAACTCGGTCTCTTGCCTCAGCATTCCCTAACCTGACAACCAAGTTTTAGTCAATCAAGTTTAAATAGGCCTCCCATTGTGGTACCAGGGAATGTACGGCCCAAGATGCCTATTAAACTTAGAGGTGTGTGTGTGCCTAGAGGGGGAAGAAAGTCCTTTGTAAATCCAGATTAGAACTGGTCTGATAAATGCTGAGCTGGGTGTGTGTAAATGTGGGTTGGTTAGCATTTGGAGCACAGATTCCCCATCATGCAGTGCTCCCCTGCTTCTCTGGTCCCACAATTCACTGCAGTCTCTGCTTCAGGCTTTCTGCTCTCCATCTCTCATGTAAATGAACGGTCATCTGGTTCCATCTTGGATGCAAATGAGCCCTAAGACAGTTGTTTCACTCGTCACCCTTATGTGGAGGATCTTAGGTGCATCTCTCACTGCATCTTAATCAGTTTCATTTAGGTAGAGGAGGGGAGGGAGGGGGAATTCTTTGTGAGTCAGACAGACTGCATCCTGTGCCAGGGTTCCTAAGAACACAGAGCTGAGATGCAACAATACTTCTATTTTAATACTATCAATACTCTGTGTTTCTCACTTTCCTTGCAACCCACAACTGAATATGTGTTATGAATTACTTACACCACTTTAAGTATTATCTTCATTCAATATATGAATAAACTCTGCAATGTGTAGATGAGATGCTGCACCATAAGATCTAGGAATAAGAGGCAAAGATTAAATCTTCTTTAATCATAATAATGATGAAACTGTCTCAGCTCTGATTATCATCCCAGAACATATGTAATATCTCTGAAAGAAGTAAAGAAAAGGAAGAAAAAAATCATAGGAAAAAGAAGGAAGGAAGCAGCTGACAGAGAAAGGGAGGGTGAATGGGCCTGAATTGAGAAGAATGTGAAAAGGGCAGGGGAAATGCAGAGTTGGGAGGAGGTCACACAGAACCCCTGGCACTGGAAGCCAGTGGTAACTTTGGGGACATCCTGAGGTCTGGATGTTATAATATTTGTATATTATACAAATATAAATGTGTATGTCAAACACACATTACCTTTCTAGATTGGGAATATGTTCTAAGAAGGAAACTATTTATTGCTGGTTCACGTTTCATTTGCTTCATGAATTAATACAGTACAAGTATAGGAAGTTATACTTTAGTTTCTGTTTTAACCCATTTGAAATATTCTACAGAACACATTTACAGAGGGTTTCATCTTATGCCATAATATATACATTATTAGCACACATTGGCCAAACTTGTAATGGCTAAGTAAAAGCAAACATTAAGAATAAATTAAGGTATCTTAATCCAAATGGTCCCTCTTGGAAAGACAGAAACATAACGCTTGCTGATACTATAAATTATAGCACTTTCTTTCAATTACCTATCTTATTTATCAATCACCTTTGACTGATATTGCTGAAAAGAAGAGAGTGTGAGACAATGCTTACAAAATTCAAGTTAAGATAAATTTGTAATACTTGTTTTCTCTCTTTTCTTAAACATTTGACTGGTATTCAGAGCTTTGCCAAGATTTTTTTCATTAGGAGAAATGATTGATTATGAGCTATATATTTCTTTGGAGCAACTCTGTTTATTCTAAAAGCATGTACACAGAGATCTATTTCCAGGCACATAACAGGAGCCACTTCTCTTGCTTATAAATCAGGCTTACCTTTAGAGCTAGTTATGTTCCTAAAAGGCTGGGCATACTTATCACTTCTTCTCTGGCTTCCCCACATGCTGTTTCTCCTGTGTCAGGACACACACAGTTGCAACCAATCGGTTAAGTCTTGGTAGGTAGCTTCTGTTGCTTTAATTTCCACTGTTCAAGAGGGTATTTCATTATTTGTTTAATTTATCCTGAATGCAAAGTACCTATTACTCATGTTGATAATAATCAGGACTCTGACAATTACACTTTTCATCATAACAGTTGATCTTCCAAGATACATTAAAAAGGTTTGTTATATGTTGGATATGATGAGGAACTACCTGACATCATGTCTTCCCTCTCTATTCAAGATTGTACAACAATTTTGCACAGTAAAACATGCTGTGTGATTTACACTAATTTAAAAGCATCTCTTTTCACATATACATACAACATAAGAAAATAAGAGGCTTTTTCCATTAGAAAACCTGTATTCTATATATCTTTCTTTGAAACTCTGTGTGTTGAGAGTATTCACAAAATATGAACAAAGTCTAATGCTATGCAGTAGAAACACATTTCAGAATGAATTACTAATTAAAAGGTAGCATAAAACACTATATGGTGCAAACAGCTGTTTGAAAACTGGAAAATGTGCTTAGAGGCCATTGAATATTACAATAACATTTTCTATGAGCATTCACATGTTTAAAAAACAATATTTGCTTTGTTTTTTTCTATACTTTGTTGATGTTCATTTTCATCAAATTTTCTGATAAACAACTGTTGAAATAAGATGGATGTATTTCCCAAATATTTTCACTTGCTTTTAAGGGTTGCAGTAATTCAGGTTAAGAATTTAAACAATGCCAACCTATACTTCCAATTTAAAACCATTATATGCAACTGAAATTTTGAATTTAGAAAACTGAGTCTTCTCAACATTACAGCTACTCATGAATTATCTATAAACTAACCATTATTTGCATAATTCTAAATAACATCATTTTGAAACTGTCAATAGTGTGTGCATAAAAAGGGAAGGGGAAAATATTGAAGCATTTTTAAATAACATTTATCCAATAAAGTGTAGGTAAAACAGTTTAAACATGATTACTGCTGAATTATTTTTGAGCAAAGTTTCTTGCCTGACTGCCAAACTGTTCAGGAAAGACAGGCAGGGGAGAAGAGGTGGAGGAGTTGCGCTATATGTAAAAGAACTGTATGGTTGCTCAGAGCTCAAGTATGGAACTGGAGAAAGGCCTGGTGAAAGTCTCTGGGTTAAGGTTACAGGGGAGAGGAACAAGGGTGATGATGTGGTGGGTGTGTGTTATAGACCACCAGACCAGGAGGATGCGGTAGATGAGGCTTTCTTCAGAAAACCAGTGGAAGTTTCCAGATCACAGGCAATCAACTTGCATTTGATTACAGTCTATTCCATGTCCATACTTATGCCAAGATTCCCCATTGGCTTTCAAAGAAGTTACCAAGGAAACCAGCACTCTCTGTGTATGAGGAGTTTTAACACATTATTGCTGCTGGTAATCTTCTCTGCCTTTATCAGATGTAGCCATCTTTTAAAAAAAATGTTGGAAACATGCATAGACCATACACTAGTGAAGACGAGTTATCTTTGTCAATAATATGTCTCTAGATCACTATACAGAGAAATTTATCAAGCAAAAATGATGAGTAGTATCTGAGATTTTGCTACAGTAACAGAGAGCCCAATGTAATGACATTTTCTCTCTTTCTTTCTTATTAAGCTCTGTGTGGTGGTTATATTCATGGGAGCAGTGGAACCATTCTTTCTCCAGGTTTTCCTGATTTTTATCCAAACTCTCTTAACTGCACTTGGACTATTGAAGTATCACATGGCAAGGGTAAGAATGTAATGTGACTGCCTATCCACAGATAATATATATTTTAAATATGCTTCTGACAGAATTAAATATACGTATTTTATTAATCCTTAAAAGAAAAAAAATTATAATTTAATTTTCTCAAACTATTACATTAAAATTTGGTTGTGTATTAAAATTTGTGATAGGAGACGGGAGGGAGGAAAATCCTTCCATAATGGCAGGCATGAAACAAAGTACTTATACTGCTTTTTCAGATGTTTGTGGTCTTATGAAGATAGTCCTGTATTTGGATGGGAGATATTTCCCAGGAAAAAGCCCAGGAAAAAGCCAACCTATTAAATAGGTACTTTGCGTCGGTCTTTCATCAGTCCCATGGGACGCCCATGCCCGCTATGGGACAGGGAAGTCCAGATGAGGGTGATCCCCTGCCCTCCATTGATGCTGACTTCGGGAAGGAACGTCTTGAGAAGCTGGATACCTTCAAGTCAGCCGGCCCTGACAATCTTCACCCCAGGGTACTCAAGGAGCTGGCGAGCATCATAGCCCAGCCTCTAGCGCGGATCTTTGAAAACTCTTGGCGCTCTGGTGTAGTGCCCGAAGACTGGAAGAAGGCCAATGTGGTGCCTATCTTCAAGAAAGGGAGGAAAGTGGATCCGGCTAACTATAGGCCCATCAGCCTGACTTCTATCATGGGGAAGATCTTAGAAAAGTATATTAAAGAGGCCATCCTTAATGGACTGGCCGACGCCAACATCTTAAGGGATAGCCAGCACGGGTTTGTTGCGGGTAGGTCTTGCTTGACCAATCTCATTTCCTTCTACGACCAGGTGACCTACGACCTGGACAAGGGAGAAGAGATTGATGTCATATATCTTGACTTCAAAAAAGCCTTCGATCTGGTGTCCCATGATCGCCTCTTGGAGAAACTGGCCAATTGTCGCCGTGGGTCCTCCA